GACGAGGTCCAGGGCTGCAGTTTGAAGAACTATTCCCCCCACAACAAAATCCACGCTCACTTCTGCAACAGGCAAGAGCAGCCATTGGAAGAACAGAACAGGATCTCCAGTAGAACTACACAGTTATCAGTGGTAAATGAAAACCTAACAGGAGGGTACTGAGCAGGTGAGACTGGTAACAGGAAATGGCTAAAGCAGGGAGAGGTGTCTACGGAGGTGCTGCAAAATGTGTGGGCACAAAACCAGGCTTGCTTAGCTTCAAGGATCTAGTAAAAGCAGTGTGTAAAATTATCTTTGGAGGGGACAAACTAAGAGGCGTTTAAAACTCCAGTGAGGACAGTGAAGTACTAAAGAACCCGACGAGGTCAGAAATATGGCAGGAAATGAAATGGGATTCAACTGACAAAATTGCAACCTGGTTTATCTGGGGAAAAATAATCCAGAACACAAATACTAAACGACTAAGAGATATTTGCAATGCAGTAAAATAAAACAAAACATAAAAACCCCCACCTCTTGGGGAAAAATAGCAAGCAGAAAACTGGCTATCAATTTGCAATGTGATATGGCAGTAAAACTAGCCAACACAATTTTGGATGACTTGCAGAGCACAGCTTGTCACAGAAGAGGGATATGACGGTCCCTTTTCACACAATACTGATGGGAACTTACAGACTGGGGGGATTTCAAAGCAACTCAGCAACAGCAGTGGAAGAATCTGGACAGTCTAATGACAGAGGAATGTGAATCCGTAGAATGAAGTTCAGCCTGACTGAAGGTGGGAGGTAGGGCTAACAGTGAGGAAAAGCCAATGTCTACAGCCATGTAACCGGGTGCCACAGGAGTAAAATGGACAAACGTGCTCAAAAGAAAACAGATCATTTGAGAAAACAGTTCATTATAAAGACCTGTTACCCACTGGGAAAAAAGAGGATCTGAAGGAAATGACACTGCTGCCCAAATCATTTACAGATTAGACCAGTAATTCAGCTGACCTGTCCTCTGTGCAGCGTTTCCAGATTTACACAACACAGCGAATACTCGCCAATCAACATATTTTCACTCTGGCTTCTAGGAAAATCTTAGGAAGGGCTTACCAGGAGAAGAGTCGTTACTCTGCTGTCACTCACCAGAGTCATGCCCCATGCATAACTGACATTACCATAAAGACTCCTGCATTCAAGTAGATCAAGTCCAAGGTCAGGACGGAATCTGGGACACATACAGAGGTGTTGAGGTTCAAGCAAGATCTACCTTAAATCTTGAGAACGTCGCATATTGGCTGAGCTGATGTTCCATACAACTAGGTACGTATTTTCTATGACTTCTCTCAGTGTCACTGATACTCATGTTCTCAAGTCTGCTGCTTGTGACCTTACAATCGAAATCATCACTACCAGAGACACAGATGCACAAAGGCAAAAAAAAAAAAAAATTAAAATCACCTGCTGTTGACTTTGTCTCAGACTTTGCACCTCACTGCTCATTTCTGAGCAATGGCAGGGAAGTGGTGAACAAAAGAACAACAAGCACAGGCTGCTTCTTTCCAGGTGAAGTACATTTAAAAGAATGAAATATTTACATAAGAATTTTCTGTGACCGTTTATGGCTTGCCAATCTCAAACTATTCTTAAATACAGTTCCCTGACAGAACTCATTACAATTGGGTAGGTCATGAAGTTATCTCCTTACTTCTAAGTTTCACGTTGTGACTGTCAGAAAAGAACACAAACCCTTGCAGCAACAGTTCAAGAATAATCTTAAACTTGCACTGACCTGGCAGAAGCCTGAGAGAAAGCCACAACGGCAGTTTCCTGCACTACTTGTTAAGTTAGGCACACATCTAAATATAAATGTTCTTTGCTTGTGCTGCACTAGGACTTAAAACACGTTTCTAGGAGAGAGCTTTCCAAGGATATCTAGAGACATAACAGCTTTCCTGTTTTGAACTGGTCTTTAAGACTTTTGGCACTATATGACAAATATGGAAATAATCAGAACTCTTATATGTGACACTTGAGTACTTGGAACACATAAAACCCACTCATCAAAAAAAGGTATCAAGTCACAGGCATTAACTGTTTATAAATTACATGTATGCTGCATTGTCAACAACTATTTCATGCTCTCCTCTGCATTAAAATTTCCAAGTATCACGGCAGCTTTATTCATAAATAACAAGCACAATAAATTATATGATTACAAAATAAGTTATAAGATTAGCCTTGAAAAAGTCCAGCCTAAAGTCAGATTTAAAAAATACTTTCTGGAACCCGAAACACACCACCTTTTAAACTACCACCATAAACTATAAAGCCATCGTCTGCAACTCAGCCGTATCAGCTTGGCTCCAGGTTCCAAACACACGGTTTGGGCTAGCTGCACGAGTCCCCTTTTGAAGCCCAAAGCGGCTTCTGTCCATGTAGCGTGGTGACAGTAACACAAGCTACACAGTCTTCCTCAGCGTTGTGCTCAGTTCAGTAACTTTGCTGGAATTGGAACATGCCTTTTAGGAAAACTTACAACCCCCATTAACATTCTTCATCTCACTCAAAACTGTTCCAAAAGTTCAAGTCAAGCAGCTTAAATTCAGGGCTTTTTAAAAATTCAACCATGTAATTAGAGAACTGCAAAGGGCCTATAATTTATGGTTAGGTATCATGCTATTTAAATGCAACTGTAATTAACCAGTTGACTCAACTGCACCAGTACCGGAAACCTGCCCATAGGCCGTCAGTCTCAAGGTCACGATGGCTCTTACCGCGCTGATTAACTCACATCCTTCGGTTGTTCAGAACGGCACTGGAGCTCAGTTACTGCCCTAAACTCACACTCATCAGGGTTAGCTGGTTTTGTGTACTTAGCTTGGAAGAGTCTACACGGCCCAGCATGCTTAAACAGAATATTCAACTGGAGCCAGCAGCCTGGGTTTGGAACACTGTTCCACTTTGATTCCAAACCACACATATTTGAACAGTTAACAAATGCAGCAGGGGGATACTGGTACACAGCAGTCTAAAAAATGTACAAATCCTTTGTTGTTGTTGTTTTTTTAATACCCCAAAAGAACAATTTGGTTGCTTCATTATATAAGCACATTAAAAAAAAACCCTTACCAAACAAAACACGAGTGCAAGGTTGCTTACAGGTGGTGGTGGGTTTTGAGGTGGGTTTTTTCCCCCCTTCTACATTATCTACATATTCCGAAGCACATTTGTTTATCTAAAGTTTTGATCAGATTTTATAGACTGGAGAAGTGCAGTAACTGAGACAGGGTTTGTTTTCCTTGTAGAAGGCTGCTGGGTCAGAAAATTTTTGCAGAGTATTTACCTCCTTCCTTCTAAGTTTCACATTGTGACCACCAGAAAAGAACAGAAGCTTCTAGACACTAAAATCATTTCACAGTGCTCATCTATGACAATAATATTTCAGAATCTAGTGGAAGCAAAAATGTGGTTCAGCTCATCTGTCTTCAGCTCATCTCTTAACAGACAGTTAACGAGTTAAAGGGACATACGCCACACAGGCACACACAAGCTAGAGATAAGGCTGGTTGGAGGCCCTCCCTCCTCTCCCAGTTGCTATCTAGTTTGCCAGCTGTTGATAACATCATCGCCACTGGGTAGGCTGTATCTCGTAGAAGTCTGTCAAAACATGAATTTTAAGTATACGTGTATCTTGAAACACAACTACAATAAAACCACAGCTCAACTCGTCAGACAGCTAACGGCGTAGCCAGGTGTGTCTCTCCCCACCTTCAAATAAAGAAATCAGTCTGTACAGTCACAAAAGTAGGACCCATCCATCCGCAGTACACGTGCCCTCCCAGGGATGCACTCAGAGTTCTCACGTAATTTTGTGTACACACACGTAGTTACCAAATTGCAATCCTTGCCCCCTTGGTTTTCCAAAGCTAAGTACCAAACAGATACGACATATACAAGTAACCACTTCCATTTTCACAACCAAGTACACCTCTGGTTCATTCTTCAAAGCTTCCTGCACCTCACTCACACCTCATCACACTTACTGTTCTTTACTGACACTCTGACAGTTCAGGATCCCAAGTGTGCCATAATAAAACTCAGGAAATGGAAAAGCCAAATGGGAAGACAAAACCAACGAGAAAACCCAACATTTTGCAAACATTTTTCTCTAATCCTTCTGATGATAAAATTTACTTACGGTTTTCTTTCCCTTCTTCAGCACCGCACAGGATCTCACGTACATACAACGGGACTTCTTGGTGTACTACTATCATCTAAGTTCTTGGCCACAGAGAATCCTCTCTCAGGGCAGCCCTTTTAGAGCTTGGCCCTCTCCCTCTTCCACATTCATAGTCAGTGCTAATGAACCTTCATTTACTTTAAACAGCATCTTTGTTATTTCGTAGAGAGCACATTATGCAACTGAACAAGGAAGGAAGCCAAAGCACCTGTCCTGAGGTGCTGACACTTGACATCCACATACAGATGGGTAAAGAGATAAGCGTGGATACATGCCCTGTTGTCCACACCCTTTTTCTAAGCGAGAACTAGTGCACAAAATTAAAATCAGAGGATAACGACACCCTATCGATGCCAGAACTCTTCAAACCTTTGAAGAGCTGTTTCTCTACACAGCTAAAGGGAAGCTGGAGGTAGACCAGGGAGAAGGACTCTTCCATTTCAACTCTGCGTAAGGATTCCATGGTAGAAGTTTAATCTCATTACACATTTGCTTTCATCTAATGCTGTAGCTCAATAATTCCTATTTTATCTATTTTACGTTGCAGCTTTTCTGTGCAAATTTTACTCGTTATAGTATCCACAAATGCCATCCACTAAAGAAAAAGCAAATTGAATGAAATGGGCTACATTGCTAATAAGAGCAGCTCACACTAGATTTGATTAAATTGCTGCTTCTTTGGGTAAGGAAAGATAATCAGATCAGAAATGGCAGCAGGTATTAATCCGCATTTTTACAGTATTACTGATCAGACAACCAGACCGCTTACTGACCTGGGGCCACTCAGAGTTGCCGTGTCCCTCACTGCCTGTGCAGTTTCCGAGGCGAAATCCAGAGCTCCAGCCACAGGTTTGGTTACTGTGCCAACCAGCCCCTTCCCGAGGCCCGATATGAAACCACTGACGCCTCCTTCAGTTTTCACACCTTCAACTGTTGAAGTTATTACACTTGTCAATCCTCCGATGATACCTAGTGAAGACAGGAACAGCAAAGTAGGCCAGAAGCGCTGCCGCTAAAAATTACAGAACCTTGTCACCGCTGATGCTGTCTGCCTAAAGGAGTTACTGTCACGCCTGACAGAAATGTGCTGGGCGTTTAATGTAATACTTTACATTAAAAAGTAAACATTTCAAAACTGAGTACATTAGCTCGTAACTTTATACTCTGTGTATGCAGTAAGTACACACGTGCACAGACGATGATATCCCACAGAAAAAACTTAATTCGTTATTAAATATGTACCTGTTAAAATATTTCTATACTGTTTTATTTCCCAGCTGTGTTTACACAAACAGTCCTCATCTCTTCCTGAGGTGAAGCGGTTACTTACAGTGTGACAAAACTCTCTTACCACAAAAGCTTATACAATTTGAGACAGGAAACAGAAAACTGCGTTTCTCCACTGGAAAAAGTCAGGTATTTGAAACTGGCATTGCGTGATTTTAACTGCGATGCTGCCAACAGACGTTTCCGAGCACGTTTCTGTTGCTGAACATCAGAACACTCTGAAGAAATCAAGAACCTCCCGAGGCTTCAAAAGACTTGGAACCGTTCATTTTATCTCAGAACATGCTTTGCAGATTTCACATCTCATGGTTAGAATATCACAGGTTTTAGTGAACGGGCCTCAGCGCTCGTTTGACAGCGCGTACCACCAGTGGGCTCTTCAGCTGTCAGCAGCCAGGTACCCTCTTACGGTCTGTAACTGAAGTACAGACCAGGCAGCAACTTAGTTCTGAACTCGAGAAGAACAAAGTATTTAAATCCCTTCTCCAGAGTTTATGGTTTATTCCTGCATTTCAACAGATATTCAGGTTTTTGGTTTGGTTGGTTGGTTGGTTGTTTTTTTTTAAAAAAAAAACGGAATGGGAAGCATTTAAAGACTCCACAGAATTACGACTAAACCAGTCCTAATTACTGGGTAATACAATGCAATGAAGGGCTTTTATAATTGACTTTTCAGCAAAGACTGACCTATTTCAGATTTCCTGCATTTCTACCCATATAATTCGTAACAGACTTTACAGCCCACTGGTGTGACAGAAATCTCTCTCATGATCCATTTAAATACCTGCAGTGTCTCTTTACGACAAAAGTCCAGCATAAAGACTTTTGCTCAGCACACAGAAGGCTGCTGTTTTAGTGAAAGCCAGATTATCTTGACACAGGCTGCAACAGTTGCACTGGAAGAACGACATTTAAACAAACTGAGTCAAGATGATGCAAAATATAAATATTTGATTTAAACTTGGCTTGTATTGATTTAACTTTCTTCAATAGATAAATCATGAACTAAATTGATGTGAGATTCTGGCCAAATTAAGATCAGTCCGCTGTCTTTTACACAAATTCATTTCTGTAGTTCTTAGTAGATTTAAAACAAAACCACAGAATAACCCAACTGGTGAAATGTTAAACTGATGTGCCTATTCTGAGGAAGCTCAGGTTTCTGGAACTGAAAGCAAATGTAAGAAAGCTACAATCCAGCCATACTGATCTTTATTTTAATGTCTGGCCCTCAAAAAGACTGTTTGCATGGGTATCTTAGGCCTCTACAAAGAAACTGAAGTTTTGGATGAACTTTCTTTGAAATTTCATTTTAATTTGCAAAAAAGCTTTTACTTACAGTCACACGTGCAAAGCCCTTATTCTTAAATGTTGTTTTGGTCAACTTAAAAACCAAACAATCCTCCCACCCGGCATTCAAATTCAAACGTAAAGCCTGCGATAGCGATAGCGCCACCTCCCTGGCTTCACACCGTGACCAGGAGCAATGCAAACTGCTCTTTTCAATCTGGTCGTCACTTGTAAGAGAGAAACGAGTTAAAATTACAGCGAAGGGTTACCATGTGCAAGTCCATGGATTCCAGCTACAAGATGTTCTCCACTAGTTGCAGCGTGATACCGAATGTATTCTCGTTCGGTCTGGTGTCTGTTATCCATCGTCTTTCCCAAACCATCTGACAAGGTCCCAGCGAACTGTAAGACAGCAACCTTTTCTGTTATTAAAAGAACTAAAGGCGTTTCTCTTATGTTGATTTATGAAGAAGACACCTAGATTTTAGTTGTGAAATACAGATTTATACAACTCATTTTCCTACACGTGCAGTCACTCCAGCTTTTTCGCCATGAAGAAAGCTCTGAAGTACTTTAACCTGGGCTTCCGTTGGTGCCACTGAAGTCATGAGGTGACAGTCAAAAACCAGGTAGGTGCCCAACTGCAGCGGCCAAGCCAAAACAAGTGAAGTCTGTGAAAGTGCCAGTGACCCACCTGTAACCTTCCAAACACGCACAAGAATGTTATTTAGATACAAAGCTTTTCTTCTGCAAAGATATGTGAAAAGCTTCAAGGCAAATATGCCTGTCATGAAACTAAAATGTTTGCAAGAGTTAATTAAATTCTTTTTAGTCACACAACGCAGAAATGGCTCTATTGTGAAAAGAGCTGGTGGGGGAGCCACCCCGTGCTCCCTGCAGCACTGGGGTGACCCGCTGAAAGGCGGCTGTGTTGGTACAGGGAACCCTGAATGGGGGGTGGAGCATTTTTACTCCTTACGCTTACCTCTAACAGCCTGGGGGAAGACCTGAGACACACTTACAGATAAAAGAGGACCTCTAAGTCCAAACAGGACTTGTTCTGAGAACTCTGACCATTACTGAGTACGAGTCAATGAAAAAGCAAATAAAAATGATCTATTGTGATCTGTTGACCTTTAGTTTGACATAATCAGATATAAAACAGAGGTTGGTGAAGGGACGGAGGCAAGAAAAGGAGACAAAAAACCTGAAACCTTATCTCATATTCAGAGTATTATTGCAGAAAAGGACTCCCGGCAGACATTTTCCTGGAATAACCGCCAAAAACTAGCTATTTTTGGTTACATGTAGTTGGTCTTCTTCTGTACCTCCCTCAACTAGCATCAGCAAACTTAGAATCGTCTCCTTCCAATAAATAAACAAAATTCCACCACCCCCCCCAAAAGGAACAATGGTTTAATGTTTTGTTGTGTCTTAGACTAGGGCTGGGGAACGTACCAGGTGCCACAGGAACATCGAAGATACCCGATGGCTGTAGCAATGGTGAAGCCATTGCTGCCCTGCACGATCATAGCTCCTCTACAAGTACTTCACTGTTTAAGGACCGTGTATGGCCACTGTCCTTTCCATTGCTCACCTCATCTTTGTTGCATTAGTACTGGTTATGTTAAAAACCCTCCGTGATCAAGGTGTGCACCAGAAAACAACTAAAACCTGGTGTGAAATTCTGATTCTAATACACTAAAGATTACAAAAGAAACAGTTAATTTACGTGCTTGATGCAATGACAAAGTCCCCCTCCTTTTCTGTCATTTTTTCCAAGTCTGCATTTTCACTAATGCCAAGATGTCCCAGTTTTAGATGCTTCTTTCCAGCTCAAAGACAAACTAGTCCAGTGGCTCCGATTATCTAAACAAGTCGACTTTAACAACATGAATGAAAATTAAATCCCATGACCCTTCTTGTGACTTGATCGTATGGACACTGAACAGAGCACAGTGATCAGTGACTGAATTACTTCTGACCTCTTTGTGAACTTCATGTAGATGTTACGGTTTTTTTAAATTACCCTAGAAATACACACCAACCTGAAGCTACCTACTAACTGCATTTAAGGTTGGGGATTTTTCTAGACAAACACTTTGCTTTAAGAGCACTACAGTAGTTGCTATAAAAAGTAAAAGGCTCAGCAGGCCTTCAAAATTCAAACCTCATTAAGGAATCTACCAAGGCCTGAAAATGATTTTTCAAGACCACATTTTGAAAGCTACATTACTGCATGATTGGACAACCAGCCACCAACTTCCCGATATTGATCAAAGTCGGTAAGCTCTCCTCACAGCCTCGGCTCCCCCTGCTCCCTGCCTACATTGGCCAGCTCCACTGTACCAGCTTTCCCAGTGAATACAACCCAGTCTTTCCTCTAACTTTCCTTCCGCTGTGAAACAGAATCTGACACCTAATAGTCCATGACAATTCTGTTTAAGCGTATAGAAAGAATTTTAATTTCTCTTACTAAGTAGGAAAAAAGAAAAAAAAATCTCACCTTCACAGTTTAAAAGTCCTAGTGTCCACTAACTGTAAAGCCACAGTTAAATGGGACATTTTTGTGCTATTTAGAAAATAACCCCGATTTACAGCTGTAAATAGAACAGCTTAAGGGTTCTAATGTACCAAATGTACTATGAAACGTTTCCATTTTGCCCTGACCCAGGTGACAAAATCTGAACTCCACACACGTTAATGACAAAACATGAATTTCATGTTGAATTACTTTTTGACACGCCTCCTCCTCCCCCCTCCCCGGGTACTGTTTGTTTTCCAGCCTCACAAAGCCTGAAGCCAAACTTCTGCAGCCATCTGTACCGTCTGTACCTAAGCCAAGGGGTCACCCCCATGAGCACGCGTGAAAAACAGCTTCCAGCTGGGGGCCACCGCAGCACTTTTCCTGCTCTGAGGTGCAGAACGTAACGTGACCAGGGTCGCCAGCGCGAGGTAAAACGCCAGTGAAGGTAAAACCACGGAGACGTTTCACAGGCGTTAGTAAGTCACGCTGAGCTCTGCCAGGCAAGCGAGCGACTCGCCGTTTCCTGCTCTGAAGTTCAGACTCTTATGTAAAGATGCAGACTGTAAGGTCAGCATTATCCTGATCCGGGATCCCAACAAGACGTACGTCATCCCTCACGTTGCCCAATACAGGGAATACCACATCAGTGAAATAACTGCTGGGTATCAGAAACTCTTAACCATCCTTTTCTGTGCACCTCAGAAATGCTTTCCCTCAAATGGTTTCCCAAGCCTATTTCAGCAAACAGGATTGTATCTACCTACGTAAAAAGGAAAAAAAAATAAACATTTCTAACATTAAAAAACTCCACCCACCCAACCACCTGCACCTTATGCCCAGTCTGTGCAGATTATAATCACTGTATTAAGAAAAAGGTACTCAGCAGCGGCAAGTTACTTCAGGATCAAAAACTCAAGTAAGCATCGTAAATTTAAGCAGTTTAAGTCCAGCTTAAACTTTGAAGGGAGATTTGGACAAATTAAAGCACAAAAGCAGACTTCCCTTTCCCCCCCATATGTCTTGCTTTTAGATGCCTCCCTTGAGAAGTGCAATATTAGATAAAGAGATTAAGATACTAAGGCCTGTGGAAGAGCAGTGATGGTGGCTTACACTGAGCTGTTAACCCGGTCACGCAGAAAATAGTCTCCAGATAAACAAAGGTGACAACAAAAGTTCGATCCACCCTTGTCTTCCTTAGCTTTTGTTAATAACGTGTGACCTGATAACTTCAAAGCCTACGTAAGGCCGCGTAAATGCCAACATAACTAAATACAACAGTCTGTGGAACAAACATGAAACTAATCAAGGGACTTCTAAAAACCAGTCCCCCTCCTTCTCTATCCTAATTTTCATAATGAGTTCTTTGTCTACCTGCCAATGAAAAAAGAAATTGGTAATGTGCTCTTTTATCTCTACATTTTCCCCCATTTCAGACATCCTTCTCATTGAAACAGAACTACAACACGGTATGTCAGCATCAGCTAAGAAAAGTCACCGGCTTCCTATCCAAAAGGCACCGAAGTGTGGCTGGATGAAGCCAGTCTACACGAGGTCCATGTACTCTACTTGTCAACCTGGCATCTCCAGTCAAAGCAAAGTAGGGGGCTTCCAGACTACTAATTAAAAGTTCTGTCATTTCAGGTACTGGAATTACTTCCCCTTATCATTAATATGCACTGTTTAATGGTTAGCCTTACCCATCCCATCCTGCCTGGACAGAAAAAGGAGAACCTCTCCGAAAAGCTCCAGTCATCTGAGCATTTGTCCACCTTTTCTTCCAGGCCTACAGTCCAGAGACGCTCGATCCCTGGTTTTCAGCCCACACTGGTTCCTGTGATATGGAGCTACCAACTGGTAATACACTGCAAGCAGAAAACACGACCCTCTGCACTTCATTAGCTTAGGCCTACGGTCCTGAGAAGGGTGAAATAGGATGACTTTCACATTTCCCTCCAAATTCCAGGACATTATGCTGCTGTGAATGCCATCTATGGAACAACACGTAAACCACTCTCAGCACTTGGTGATTACTGAAAACGCTATGACGCTTCCGTAGGCCTGGGGCACATGGGCCTTACCCTCCTCCTCTGTAGGCTCAAGTAAACGCGTAATTCATCATCTCTTGTTTTACGGGTACACAGCGTCACCAGTCAATATCAACGATCTACCATGACCTGCAAAAGCAATCGGTCTGTACAAGAAACGCATCTGCTCATATTTTGGGGTTTTGGTTGGGGTGTGTGTGTGTCTGTTTTTCTTTTTAAAGGCCTAATAATTAAGGAAGTTTTGACACAAAAACTCCTACCTCTGACTACGTATCCTTTGCTGTTTCAAGCAACAGAAGAAAAGCAACAACTCCCATATACAGTGTTTGTGAATCAAAGCTGGTGCCAAACAATAAGGCTTACAGGGCACAAGAAGAATTCAAAGCAAATGAAAACTAATTCTAGACTTTGTACTGCATGTTCCCTCTAAGCCAGATGCATGAAGCACACAGCATGGAAATAAGGTTTAAGTAATCTTTTAAAGTCTTTTTAAGCTCTTGGCGCTGCCTGGTTCTCTGAGGACATCCCAAAAGGATAAATACACAATTAGGACTTTAGTCCAAACATTCCATTGTAATTCTAGCATCAGAGAATGGCACATTTACAAATATTATTGACTGAGCAAAGCAGAACATTCCAAGATAGAATTTTAAAGGAGAAAGTGATGAAATTCAATATAGGTCAGTTATAACTTCTGTGCAAACCTCCCAACAATCTGTGTTTAAATTAGAAATCACAGGGTTTACTCAGTTCTCAGCTTTGCTCTGCAGAACCCATTGAAAAAGGAGTTCTTT